AAACAAACAAACAAACAAAACAAAAACGGGTTAGAAAAATAAAGGGTCAAGTCACTTCGAGGTTGTTTCCACAAACTTGCAAAATCCCTTAAACAAAAAACAACAACAAAACAACCCCCAACAAAAGAAACTAAAACAACTATACCTTAACAAAAAGGCAGCTAGACTTGATTAAGCATGATATCTGCGGAGTTTAGGTCATTTGTAAATGCCATATTAGTGGGTTAAAGCGACTTAGCCATTTCATTCAAACTCTCTACTGTGTGGTCTCCTCTGACATGTGCTGATGTCATACTGAGATCTCAATGTTTTAGCAAAATATAACCTAGACCTTTTAATGTCTGACCACTCCAACTTAAGTATAGCTGCGCATTACCCCAAAAGCTGACAAGACAATACAATAACAATAACTCAGTTGGTCAGTCAGCCTGTGCATTCCAAATTTCCATTCCAGTCTCGAAGAAGAGCATACTGGGGTGCAGCCAGATGAGCTCATGGCTACAGTTCACATATTACGACTCAGCCGAGTGCCAAGTACGCACTTGCAGCAGGACGAACTAAAACACACAAAAGATACAGCGTGCAAGGTTTTTAGTTTAGTTTTAGTAGAGGTTTTACGGCGCTCGCAACTGCATAAGGTCTTATGAGCGCCAGAAGATTAGAGGTGTTACTAGAGAGTAAAATACTTAAAAAAGAAGAAGAGAAGATATGGGCAATAAATGTTTGATAGGAAAAAAAAGCAAACCACACCAGAGCACCCGCCAACCACCCAGCGTGCAAGGTGTCTAACGAAGTAGGAAAAAGGGCCACAATCAGTCTCACTTCAGGTCCAGCAGCGACTACCGCTGATACACAAAGAACAGGAGGATACATCTTTTCCAACAGAGTTGGGAATTGAATTCGAAACTTTCATTCTGCAAGTCCTACAAGTTATCATTCGGCTTGGACGCAGATGCATGTGCGCTAAATTCGCAGACCCCCCCCCCCAAAAAAAAAAACAGGAAAAAAAAATCCCTTGAAAACCCCCACAAGGTTGTTGGTCAGTTAAATGGAATATGTATGCCTAACGTTTTATAAATACGCCCTGTAAGTCAGCTGTTGACAAAGTGATATGGGGCATTTTGTGCTTACATCCTAAATGAGAGTACTCAGCTCTCCGAGATCATACGTGTATGGGATAGAGCGCTGTATAAAAAAATATTATGTTATAATAATAATAATAATAATAATAATAATAATAATAATAATAATAATAATAATAATAATAATAATAATGATAATAATAATAATAATAATGATAATAATAATAATAATAATAATAATAATAATAATAATAATAATAAAAACATAAACATGATAATAAGAATAACAATAATGATTATGATGATGACAATGATGATTATGATGATGATGATGATGATGATGATGATGATGATGATGATGATGATGATGATAATGATGATGATGATGATGATGATGATGATGATGATGATCCTTTCCGATTTGTGTTCACGCACCCTTCTGTTATTATATTCCTTACCTCCACGCACCTGCCCCCCCTCTCCCCCTCTCTCTCTCTCTCTTTCTCTCTCTCTCTCTCTCTCTCTCTCTCTCTCTCTCTCTCTCTCTCTCTCTCTCTCTCTCTCTCTCTCTCTCTCTCTCTACCACTTCTGGCCTTAGTGTTCCCTTCTCTCTGGCCTTTGTGATTTGTACTCACCGCTCCTTTAAGTGTTGTGACATGTATGTACGCACTTTAGTTTTTACAGCATGTGTAGATCTAGATTCTTGTCATTTATATTGTGAATGTTCCTGAGGAAGCCCGTTGAGGGCGAAACGTTGAACTTTGGATAAAATATTTTTTCGAAACACTACCAGGTCTTAACTGTTTTAACATCTGCTTTATACCATCATATAAATTATTATTATTATTATTATTATTATTATTATTATTATTATTATTATTATTATTATTATTATTATTATTATTATTATTATTATGATCATTATGATTATGATTATTGTTGTTGTTGTTGTTGTTGTTGTTGTTGTTGTTGTTGTTGTTGTTGTTGTTGTTGTTGTTGTTGTTGTTGTTGTTGTTGTTGTTGTTGTTCTTCTTCTTCTTCTTCTTCTTCTTCTTCTTCTTCTTCTTCTTCTTCTTCTTCTTCTTCTTCTTCTTCTTCTTCTTCTTCTTCTTCTTCTTTCGTATTCTCACAAGTGCAGTGCGTTGAGAGGTTTGTACTTACCGATATATATGGAAGTTGTTATTTAGGTATTTTAAAAAAAGGGTCACTGAAGACCACTTTTTACACATGTACAAGGATGGATTGCGGTAGCTCAGACGATTTAAAGATAGGTGTACGATGGTCCGGGTTTGAAACCCTCACTGGAAGTTCTTGAACATAATGAGTTGTTTGATGATTTTTTGTAGCTCTCCATCCATTTAATCCTGTTGTGTCGGAGATGGAAACGCAATCACAGACAACACAGAGTGTTGAAAAGAGCTGTGATCCCTTACATGCATTACTATCAACTGCCCAGTTAATGCCACTATTAAATTTTTTTATTAGAAGGACATGCATCCAGATGGCTAAGAACAAAATGGACATTTTTAAGATAATGTAATAAAAAGAAAGAAAAGATAGATATTTTGGAACACTTTTGACGCTGAGAACAGGAAAGTACACACTCTTTGCACCCCATTCCGTGCCGATGGTATTTAAATAGCACACTAATCCAATAAAAGGCCTTTAACTCCCCCGCTATTTAAAAAAAAACGCTGTTGCTTACTTATACACCGCAACTTTTCCCTCTTCCCATCAGTATCTCAAATGCCGGTTCGCCGACCAAGGTTCCGGCACCCCCTCCCCCCCCCCCCAACCAAAAAAGCCACAAAACACAAAAACAAATAATAAAGATTCGGCACAGTAAAAACACAACTTAGCAGGACCCCCCCCCCCCGGGAAAAACAATAAACCCCCAGAACAAACGAACAAACAAACAAACAAACAAACAAACAAATAAACACAAAAATCAATTTACCCCCCCCCCCCCGCATAAAAAACAAACAAAGAAAACCATCAAGGAAAAGGGAAAAAATCCCAACAAAATAATTCCAAACAACCCGAAACTACAAATATCCCCCCCCCCCCCCCCCAACCAACCTAGTAAATAATCAACAATGCAAAATTGATAATTGAATCCCAGCTGTATTTATCAGTCTTCTGCAATGAGCTTGTGGCATCTTGAAGTGTCGCACAGGGTGTTAAACCAATACATAAACACTATGGATTTATACATTATGCACTTTGTATTGGCGGCATTAAAGCATTGACGTTGTCTTACAGCTAGAACTCTCCGTAACCTCACTTGTATTTTACGCTCCAGTCGACACCGCTGTTATAGATTCGTTAGGAGGTCAGCTTTTATTCAGGGTCACCCCGAGCTAAGTGGGATTCAACATCCCAACAGAAATAATATGGATGTACTCGATGAAAATAATTTCCCAACTTGGAAATACATGTAGAAATCAAGTCTTTTGCACACGGGGCTAAGCGCCAAATTATTACATCTACAAACGTCGGTGCAAAAGCCACAGAAGCGCGAAATCAAGCAGTAGGCTACGAATAAACATTAAGAAGAGCTCGTATTTATCAATATAATAACATATCATGTACAAACAGGACTACTCTTTTTAGATTTTTCAAAAGCCTTGTTTGGTCCTGATCTTTCCTTTCTGACGGTTTCATCTCAGACAGAGGCTGGCAGTGACACACAGAGCTGCAATGCTGGGGAAACCTAACACAGCTGGAGAGAAAGATATTCATCTTATGTAGGCTATGTAAGATTATATATAAAGTGCAGCGAATGGTGTGCTGATATTATTATGACAATTTATTAGATGTTGAGGCATCCTTATCGATGCCAGCCTTGCTGGGGCATCCATACTCATGTCTTAACTCAAAACAGGTTGCCAAATTTGTACACAAAGCCAGTAAAAAAATTCTAATGAAAAAAACAAAACACAACCAAAGCAAACCAACGAACAACAAAAAAGAGTCACCAACAAGAAGTCAGCTTTCACTACGAGATCTAGCTAACCACGTTTGATGAGACAAACATGAATCAACAACAATAAGAGACTTTATTACAACATACCAACTGATAAAGCTGCAGAAGTGGCCTAGATCTACAACAGAAAACTTCATCTCCTCTCGACGCTTAAAGGCAACAGAAGGAAAAAGGGTTAAAGTTTAAAAGTAGATGGGACGTTACTCTTCATTTCGATACGAAGGAAAGTTTCGCAATCAGAACGAAAGCAGTCCGCACTGAAAGAGAAGCCGATAGTTTTTAATCCAGTACAGATAAGGGATGCATTGTTTCATGTCGAAATAATACATCCTTATAGCAATGATAAGGCAGGTTTTCAAACCCTCTTCAGTACAATGTTAGGGTTAAATGAGAAGTGGGAATTCCAATTTTAACGCTTGGAAAACTGTTCGCATGTTCTAGTTGTGGAAAGCCACTTTAAGAATTCGAATCCCAGTCTACCGAACTGCAGTCCAACATGATACCAAATGAAATAATTCAGCCCCGTCTTGTTTGAAAGTGCACACATTATGCAGTCCCAGTAAAGGCTCAGAACGAATATCGCCTCAACAACTATTCATGTGGTATTTCGTCAAGGTTCTCACGTTTCATGTGCTGGGGAAATTTGCTACGGTGCATAGGCATCTTTGCGAGAGAATCAAGTACAGGCCAATTCCAGACGTACTGCAAAGTAAGGACTGACTTATATGTATATATGAATGTATGTAAGTGTGTGTATGTGTGTATGTGTGTGTGTGTGTTGTGTGTGTGTGTGTGTGTGTGTGTGTGTGTGTGTGTGTGTGTGTGTGTGTGTATGAGTGTGCGTGTGGGAGAGAGAAAACGGGAGAGAGAGAGCGAGAGAGAGATAGAGCGAGATAGATAGATAGATAGAGAGAGATAGAGATAGAGAGAGAGAGAGAGAGAGAGAGAGAGAGAGAGAGAGAGAGAGAGAGAGAGAGAGAGAGAGAGAGAAAGAGAGAGAGACAGAGGGGGGGGGGGTGTTAGGGGAAAAGGGCGGGGGGATGCTATCCTGACACGTTAGCTTATCCCTTACCCTAATTAGAAATAAAGTAACAGAAAAGTGACCAACTAGAACAACAACTGTGCGCTCTGTCATGGTCAACGTGGGCGAGAAGAAGCAAAGTTCACAATGTGTAGCTCTCAGAGCTTCCTGGGTGGCACGTGCTATTTTAGTTTAACGTTGTTAGCAACATGTACATTTGATGACAGGCGCACGGGGGTCTATGATCCACCAGTATGACGTGTTCTTTCTTTTTACGCTTTCACCTTGATCTTAAACAGTCGCCGGAAAGCCTCCTGATACTTTGAGCTCATCCGGAAGTAAACGAAGATGTTGATGCTGGAGTTAAAAGCTTCTAGAAGGAATCCAAAGGAGTAAAGGATCCAGTTGAGATTTTTATACTTGCCGATGATGTCAAACTCTGGTTCTATCGCCTCCGCCGAGTGCAAAAGCGATACTGGCGTGAAGCAGATAATGAAGATGATAGAAATCGTCGTTACCATGGCAACAACTTTTCTTTCTTTTTTTGGAAGTTCTCCTGACGAGGAATTAGCAGCAGAATTGGACGCAGTCTGCCGCCATGTTGCTTTCTGACGTAACTTGATCCTGATGATGACAGTACTGACGATAACGATGGCGAACGAGGAGAAAGGACCTGCAAAGTCAGTGAAAAAAATGGAGATACCTAATACTTCTTTCTTGTTGGCTGTATACAATATACCCAGAAGGGTTCTGTTTACATCGGGGTAAAATTTCCAATCGTAGTAGGCAGTGGTGTAGACTGGTATCATGCTTAAAAACATAATGACAAATACCATTACATTAACAGTTATGACCAGCTTTCGAGTGATGATAGATTTGACTTTCAAAGGGATGGCAATGCAAAGGCATCGTTCAAAGGCGACGAACGCAGTTATCCACCCTGTGATCCGGGTAAAGCAAATGTGAGGAAAACCAGCTGTTAGGCTTTGGATCTCTGACGGTCTGAAGGGAATGCCCGATTGTGCAAACCACGGATTGAGGCAGATAGAGAACCACTGTAGATGCATCAAGGATCCCAAATCACTAATAGCCAGAGAGAGCAAACTAATGTTGATGTCTTCTGCAAAGCCCTGCATGGTGAACACGATGATGTTGATGATATTCGCGACAATTCCAAACAAACTGATAATGCCGCAAAGAAAAACAAAATTTATGGTCCCTATGATCTCACGAACGTCGTAACTGACGATACCAGAGAAGGGCGGTTCCGTAGAGGTTTTCACAAACTCCATTGTTATTGGAGATAAGATTGTTGTGATGTCAACAGCTGATGCGTTGGACACATACTTCGGAATTTGAGCCATCTCAGGATCTCAGGCAATCTGAATTTAGTTTTTCTTTAGAAATTGTTGGTTTTATGCCGTTGTATTTCTCGAAGGCATGCACAGAGGGCTATATTCAACTTAACAAACACTTGTTGAGTGTTTTCATGAACCTGCAATCGTACTCCACACACTAAAGCACGGAGATCTTTCGGCTTGCTCGCTTCGGATAAACTAACAAGCCTGAAGTATGCGTCCAATTGAGAAGCGAGCTATTTTATTTACTCTTCGTGTGCTGAATACGACATTTTAAACATAGTTAGAGAGATAATTATGGAGACTTTAGGGTAAAATCAAAGGCTATTTTCCTCTCAGCAAACTGCGACGTTCCTCTGAAAGGACGATTTCGTTTACTGCCACAAGGTGTGACAGACTCAAATTATTACACCCTTTAAAAAGAAGCAATTCAAATACATTTCTACAATCGTGGCTTATGTACTTTACCCTGTCAATCGTTTTGCGTGGGGAAATAATTTAAAATAATGTAAAAGTATTTCTATAAAACATTTATAATTTTCATCACTTGGGAAGACTCAACAAATCACTTGAAGTATAAACAAAACGTAAAAGTCAAATGAGCCTAGCAGTTCATTCGAGTAATCATCTCTCTGACTTCTCCGCGTCTTCCCTTGTATTGCCATCACAGTTCATACTGACCCGACAAACAAGGCAATTGTCTAAATTGTAGGCTCTTCAGAAGTTATTTTAAATAATTTCGATGCGGTCATGGGTCAATGTTTCCTTTGTTTTACAAGAAGAATAGCGCCTCTTCAATTTAGAGCTTGTAAACAAAACGTCTCCGCCGAGACCCAGTCGTCAGGTTTATAATTGTGTGACAGTTTAAAACAAGGGTTGGAACTTGTGAAGGTAGACTATGAAGTAAAAACGTATGACTTTTTGCGTGTCAGGTTTGATGCCAAACTCTTTGACAAAAAAAAAAAAAGAGACAGAAAACGACATGCCATGGTATTAAGATTGATCTACAGGAATAGTTCCTCGTTCCCCGTAGTTATTCGACGAATCCTTAGACGAAGAGAAGCAAAAAGCACGACCAATCATTCCGTTTCGTACATGTACAAAGACTCACAATGAAGATTGGACGGGGTCTAATTGACAAACAAACACTTTGTTTACTTTTTAGAATTTAGTGGCATTTGAGTCGGGCAATATGCGTTGTTTAAAAGACGATTTAGAGAAACAATATAATGTGTTGAAATTCTCTGAAGAAAGCCTGGGACAGACCATGAGGCGTCGAGCAATTTCAAACTGTGCCTAAGTTTCCCTAAGAAAGCTTTTAAGTCAAACTACGGAAATCTACAATGATATAATATATGAATTTGCTCAGTTTGTCTTTTTATTATTTTTTTTTCAGCGTAATGTACATTGCACAATCAAATAGCACTTTAGAGAATTTGAAAGAACGGTACTGTGTTTGCAATGCCATTGTTTCGCATAACAGAAAAGAACTATCAAGTCCCAAAGAGGATCGTGCCAACAGTTTCTGAAGATGGAATAATTATTGCTGATTTTGCTACCAGCGGAGAAAGTGTCAATAGTTGCATATGGAGGTTATTGACCTTTTACGTGTGCATCTGTCAAAGGCAAATAGACATACTCAGCCAGAGACACCAAGCAAGTGAACAGACATTGCTGGAGATAACTTCTGATGTATATTGAAACGAAATTATACAGGTATAACGCTTCTTGTAAAACAGTAAGGTTATTTAAGAAACGGAACCTTCGAATATAAGAGCGAAAACATAGAGAACGCCGATTTCGGAGACTGACCCAGTAAGTGCCGATAGGTATAAACATTCCCTTTTGATTTCTAACTTGCCCCACATAGACTGCAGGCGGCTTTAAGCACCGATCGGCGTTGTTGGCTTTATCGGAATCCAATTACATTCTTATTACGCCGAAAAACTGGGAAGGGCGCCTCGCTGTCGACTCACGACCTCAGTACTTTTTTGTCGTATCTCCATTTTTTAACAGTGAAAATGTGACTTCTTCTTAAGCTCACTCTTTGTTGTGAAGTGCTACCACTGTTATTAAAAATGGAGATGCGACAAGATAGCACTGAAGTTGCGAACTCTCAATGCCGTCTCGCCGTCGCTAACTCGGATTGAGCGGTTTGCGTGACGTCACCCGACTGGACTGGAGACAATTGTAAATGGTCATTTCAGAGCTGGTGCTTCACGGTAGACAAAAACTAATTACATATTTGAAATCAGAGTCGTCAAATTGGGGTGTTAATGGAGCAGAATTACATTTTACGCAATATTTGAGGAGTTTCGAGTTTTTTAAATCCCCAAATAAATGCTTCATAAATACCAGCTGCGTTGTGGTGTACTATTTTTCTTATATTTAGATCTAGGCCTTAGGCGCCCTCTATGTGGAGTCAAGCCGACATCTAAATAACTGGTGCCTGTCCGCGTCGATCTTCAGACGCTTAAGTTTCGACGTTCTCTATGTTTTCGCCCTGACTGACGTCCATCTCCGATAGGACCGAGCCGGATGGGAACATTCGTAAAAAGTGCCTTTCCTAAAGACAAAACGCCATGCCGAGCTGAGCCTCACGATTACGAGTCAGGTAGCTTAGCCACAAAATTACTAATGCCACTTGGTCTGAAATGGCCCATCTTCTATTTCTACTATGATATCAGATGTAGCTACATACACAATACGCGCCAAATAATTTCCTATTAAGTTGATTGAATATAAGGCAAATATCGAAGATGTGCACACGTTAGCGTTATCTAGTATACAACAGGTGCCTTTGCTGTCGTGCACTTCTCTTTCATATTGAGGTATTTTGCCTTATCTCTTTAATTGGTTAGGTAAGATCTTCTGCTTGTTCTAGGTTCTAAATTACCTTTTAAAAATATTTTTCAAAACCTGAAATCATGTCTTTCTCCCAAGCATTTTTGCATTGTAATTATGGTGTAAAGTTTTGCTTTGCCCATTACTCAGTAAGTTCTCATGGGAAGAATTTTTGCCTTCTCCGATTTCGCTTTTGCCTAAACGTCTTTGTCTTCTATTTTTTTCTGCAAGCGCAGGGACAATAATTTTGGGACTCATTTTCTTTCCAGTTTTTTTAGGTTGTACTGCCTTAGCGCGCTATTCAACGAATATTTCGTAGTTATCAAAGGCAGAACAACATTGACGACATCATCATCATCATCATCATCATCATCATCATCATCTGCAGCAGCAGCAGCAGCAGCAACCACAACAATAACAACACTTTTTCTTCGAATATTGGCATTGTCGAAAGCTCAATTTTCTTCCAGAGCATACAATATACTGAAAAATACATGTCTTACTTCTTTTCTTTTCTTCTTTTATTTCTGTTTGTTTTTCCTGTTTTTCCCCTTTGCATTAAAAGACCGTTATTGTGTCAAGGTGCATCTCTTTACTCTGACAAACAAACAAACAAATAAACAAACAAATAAACGAAACAAACAAAATTGATTACAAAACACAAACGCTTTCACACATGTTTCAGTTAATTACTTTAATGAAAGTTTAAAAAAAAAAGACCCAGACAAACATAATGAGACACGGGTAGTTCAAAACCATGACCATTTCAAAGGAGCTACAGTATGAGGAAAATTTTAAAAAGCTTAATTATGTGTCACGGCACAGTGAAATCCGGCGCTCATCGGGTTTAGGGCTTATACGGTTACCGATATCATCTTAAAACTTGTTCATTTGTCTAGCTTTCCAAGAATAAAAGTTCCATCTGTCTTGAATATAAGAGGATATATTTGCGATTTAAAAAGGTGGGTTTCGCTTGGTTTCAGAGGTCGAATTATTGAGAAATGGCGCCAAAGTTTGGTGACTTCCAGACTGAAAATTTACGTATTTTGGTGGCTTTAATCAATATTTTTCAGTAAAATCCAGACGGAAATACTTTTTTTTAAATGGATGTAAAAGGTTTTAGGCCAAACCCCCCCCCCAAAAAAAAATTTGGGAAAAAAAGTGGCCAAACCAGTGGAAAAATTGCCGATTTCTTCGATTTCGCTGTTTTGATTGACGAGGGCCTGATTTCACCACGATGCCTCACAAATAATAATTATAATCAAAAGCTTTAAAAAACTTGAAATAAAACTATAAAACTCTGTTCGGATAAATCGTATGAATGTACAGTGACAACAAGATACCTGTTTCAAACCCGAAGGCTTAGGCCCAGGGGCTATATTAGGACTCCCGATAATTAGGATAATTATGAACACTAGCAAAAAAAAAAGTTAAAACTGATTCTGTGAAAAAATGCCATTAATGAACACAAGAAAAAAAAGAAGGCAAAACTAATTTTGTCGAAAAATCTAATTTACGAAAAACAGCAAAACACAAACGCTTACTTACTTTATTGAAAAATTTGAAAAAAAAACAACTACCAAACAACAACAAAAAGCGGACAAATATAATTAGACAAAGGTAGATCAAAACTATGGTTATTTAAAAACCCTTAAAATCCTAAACCCCTGGTGTCGGTTTACGCTGTCATTTCCTATTGGCCCTACCGCTGGTAACCTGAAACAGGGGAAGTAACTCCAGATGACTCTGTCGCAAGCAGGAAGTAAAGTATCGGATTATCTTATAAAGATCAGTTTTACACCTAAAGTTTGGAATTTTTGCAAATTAAAGAAAAAATTAGTGATTTATCGCTGCTAGACCCTTCAGGTCGCAATCTTCTTGACATTTAAAAAAATCCTGAACCAGACCCAGATGACGATACCCAGTCGGATATATCGGTGGATATGACAGTTGAAGACGATGCAATGTTTCGCATAACATCGATGATGATTTTTGACGATAGTGGAAGTGGCAAGGGATCACCACTAGAGCAACCAGAGGCTAGATCTACGACTGGGCCTAATGATACTGGCGATGCTGATGTTGATGGTTGGAGCTTCGATAGTAGTGGAGTCAGGGGTCAAGAAAGATGAAACAAACACAAGTAGGTAAACTTTTTGTAGTTTTATCTTTCACAGTGTTTGGAATACTGGTTACAGAATTCAATTAACTTATCCTAATTGAAGGAGATGGGCTAACAAAATAAGCTTAATATAATGAAACGTGTTAAAATAACTCTAACGGAAACATATAAATGAATAGTGAAAGTTAGATGCCTATCCCAAACCTGAAGACTCAATTAAGTCCACGGGCTATGTGATTCCCAATACATGTAATCAAGATAGTTATGGGCACTCTTATGAATACTACCAAAAGAAAAAAAAAAGGAAAAACTGATTCTGTTGAAAAATCTCACATGTTTTTTAAAACACAATATTCTCTTGAAAAGTAATGAAATGTCTGTTACCGAACTCATTCAATGAAAGGTAAATATTCACAAATCAGTTCTTAGTCAAGGGATTAAATAAACAGCACGTAGGTATCAACAAAACAATTCTACTATTTGAAAGAAAAAGGCAGCTTATTTCGCAATACTATAGCTAGGTACCTGTAGTTTTAATTCGGGACGAACAAAGTAAAACTATTTAATTACAAAAGGCAAATGAGTGCACACGGATTTTTTTCTGCTACTTGTCTTCTAAAAAAAGATATTTCCAATACCTTAAAGCAGCTTCTGTCCACGAAAATTGTGTGATTCCAAATAAAGGGATAAGTTGTTACTACAGCACGCTGTAAGACAGATTGAAGAAACACTGATGTTGATGTACGCATCTACTTGGTAAGTTGAGAAAAAGAATTGATAAAAATAGAGCTATGTAAATAAAGTGTTGTAACGGAACGTGAAAGTAAAATTTAAAGGTTATTGTTGAATATGAAGAAAACGGCCTGCTTGGAAATATCTCAAACTTTTTTCCTCCGAATTTCATTTTTATTAGTGAATGCGTTTCGTGAAAAATCTACTTAACAATCGTTTTTCCCTAGACTAGGCTAAGAAATGAAGTTTCAACAGTGAGGCCTTTACTGCATGGCCTGGTCAATCTCAGCAGCCATCTCCGAGAGAGTAGTGCCGTCTTCGATGTCTGTATACCGCAGGCTCACAGCAAAATCTCTTTTGATTATCTCCAGCAGCTGAACATTCTTCAGAGAGTTTCCGCCTAGATCCTCAAACTCGTCATCCTGGCTCACGATGGCCAACTTCAGGCCCAGAAGATCGGCCCAGATTTCGGCAAGGCGTCGCTCTGTGGGCGTGGCAGGTGGCAGGACGTCCGACGTGTCACGACGCATCACAGACTCATCCGTTTCCAGCTTCTTCCTGTCAATCTTGCCGCTGAGGTTCTTAGGGAACTCGCTGACGTCCATAAACTTGACGTAGGAGGGGATCATATACTTGTTGAGTTTACTCTGAAGGTACGCCATGAGTTCCGACTTGGACAGATCGGCAGGAGCCACAAATGCAGCCAGTGCTGCGTCAGATTGTCCGACCTGATGCTTGACGACAGCCGCCTCGCTCACTCCGGGGAAGCTCAGCACGACTTTCTCCACACCACTCAAGTGGACCATCTGTCCACGGATCTTCACCTGGTCGTCCAGTCTGCCTACAAAGGTGAGGTCGCCATTTTCCGAGGCCACGGCATGGTCACCTGACCGGTACAGCAGCTGGCCTTGACACAGTGGATTGGGCAGGAACCGAATCTCATTCATAGCCCGAGCGTGGCCGATATAACCTGCTGAGAGGGAATTTCCGCCAATGTAGAGCTCTCCTACTACATGAGGAGGGACTGGTTTAAGAAACTCGTCAAAGACGTACACTTGCACGTTCTCAATACCATAGCCTATTGGCAAGTCCTGCAGATCACCGTCCGTCCCCTGCTTCGGGTTAAACTCGAAAATGGTAGCACAGACCGTATTCTCTGCTGGTCCGTAAGCATTGAAGAAGCGCGCGTGACTAGCCCACTTGGTAGCAATTGGGCGTGTGCATGCCTCTCCTGCTGTAATGGCCTTTTTCACAGTGGGGAATTCCTTTGGATCATAAACGTTCCACATGCCTGGGGGGAGAGTCATGACCGTGACGTTGAGATCTACCATGACCTTCTTGAACTCGTCGCCTTGACGCTCGTCGGTGTAGAGCACGGCCAGGGTGCCTCCGGACAGGAACACGGTGAACATCTCTGAGATGACCGCGTCGAATCCGATGGAAGCGAACTGTGCGGTGACGTCATGTTTGTCAAGATCCCAGAACTTGATCTGCCCCTTCGAGAGGTTCACCACGCCAGGTCGGTGGCACTGGACGCCCTTTGGTCGGCCTAAGAAATAAGCAATACAAGTAAAGATCGTATAATTGTATATTTTCATAAAATAACAATGTACAGAGAATTTAGCACAACAACCTTCATGCAGGTAAGTCGTTTGCTCAATTGGTATCATGCTGGGCTGAAGTCCAAATAACCTTGTTTGGAATCCTTGATTGGGCCTTTGGGATTTTTTTCCGGGAGTTTTTGAAGTTGTTCAGACCTCTGTCCCGCGAAGATGGGCGAAGATTTCGGAGATTACCCCTTCCCCGTCGCGGTCCAGCTAAAGACATCTTAAGGGCATTTATTGGAGTGAGCAAAAATATGCTGTAATTCTCTTCTTGCTGTCCTATCAACAGAAGTCACAACTCACTTGCAGCCTTGCAGGTTGTGCGACAAACTGTCCAGGACAGACAGAAGAAAAGGCACAATTATACTGAAAATAGCTCAAAACCTCAAAAATCTAGAAGAAATAAACACAGCTTAGTGTTGTCAGCGCGCAAATTGTTGCAGACCCTGCCCAGTTTTGCTCTCCTTTTCTCTCTCAGATGCATGAAGCTGGGGTGGACAATTGTCCCCCTAACTGCATCTTCAAGATCAGTTTTGTACCAGGATCAGGCTGGCCTTTGACACTTACGCTTGCCGCAAGAATAAAAGTTTAACGCCGCCGACTGAGACAGGGAAAATTGGAAGGCAAACGCAAAAAAAAAAATCTGGTCAGAATGATCATAGCAACCGACATACACATTCCTCAAAAACTGGATAAGTGTACATTAGCCTTCTAAACTTCCGTGTGGTTCATCACTTGAACTGAGACGACAAAACGTCCTACAATTCTGCTCGCTCTACCTAGTTATTAGGTTAAGCAAATCCGAGCACACGGACCTCTACGTTAAACTCTAGGGTAACAGGGAGGAACTACTGAAGTCTGGTGTGTCAATGTTAGGCTCTTCTCTATGGCTCACTGAAGACGTTAGTTCGATTCCCATGTGGGGAAGGGTTTTGTTTTGTTTAGTCAAGTAAACCGTCTGCCTGCTGGGATATTGTATCTTTCTCGGGCTGGATTGAACCTGACATGCAGGGTGGAAGCAGCCAGCCTCCAAAATGAATTTTAGAAATACAGTTACAATACAATACCGAAGTCAGTATTTCCTTTCAAATTTAAAGGTTGAAGAGCTATTAATTTTCACCCCCCTCCCCTCCAATCAAACTGGAGGCTGATGATACGGGAAGTCCCTTGTCTGGCATGTTCTTTTAAGATGTATTGCGTTGTAAGTCCACCGTGAAGACATACAATATTGCAACCGGATTTCTTCTAAAAGACTATCATTTTCGTATATGTAACACACACACTGATTTTTCAGCTGGGTGAGAAGAGGAAAATGAAAATATACATTTCCCAAAGACGCAACATTTCACCAAAATAAGCTGAAATCGAAAGCAATTATGAGTCTGACGACTTAATCGCAAAACTGTGCTGCTCATTTAACGCCACAGAACGCCATAATTAGATCCAACAAAGAGTTAACTCTTACTCTTAGGCTGGGCGCGCACAGGGCAACTTTAGTTGTGCAACAGTTTCCTCGCCAAATGTAAACAATGAAATTATAGATAAGCACCGCGCACACAGGCAACTCGGGTTTTTGAAGACTGAAAAGTTTGTGTTTGGTGACACCTTTCCGGCAATGCAACTGTTGCTCAAATCTCCTGTGTTACATACAAACACACACATGCGCGCACAGGCAACCAAACTGTCTCCGGACTCGACAAGGCCCCGCCACTCCCCCCATTTTTTCACTCAGCACAGACCTGACAGAGGTACACACAATGCATTGTTTCACTTCCGCTAGAGAAGAAAATGGATAGCGATCCAACTTGGATTGACAAATTTATTTCTATCATTGAAAAGAAGCCTGTCCTCTACAACAAGACCTCAGATGAGTATGCTGACAGAGATAAGAAAGTTTGACAAAATGCCCTTTTAAAAACCTCTGACTGGTCAAAGGGTGAACCCAAAACCGCTTTTTCCTTTTATTCTTTCTAAATGTAATCTCAAGAGCACAGACAACATCTGCGTCGTGGAAGTCCATGTCGTCAAATTATGAGGAAGTCAGTAATGATGATAGCCTACTGTTGCGTGGCTGTTGCTTTGCTTTGTGCGCGCGGTTAATAAAATAAGTTGCCCGGAGACAGCAACTGTTGCGCAACTAAAATTGCCGTGTGCGCGCCTAGCCTTAGAAATCTTCACGTCTACTAACTAGATGCTGAATTATTATTTGTATTTTAAAGAAAAATGGTTTTCACCATTTCAGCTAGCCTGTACTACAACTGAACTGTATCCTCACATACCAAATGTTTTACTTCTTTTCTTACAATTGTAGTTGAGTAATTCACGCTTGTAAATTGAAACCTTTCTTTTTATGTGGAAAAAGCTAACGTGTATATATCTTTCAAAACAATTTTCGTCATGACAAAGCAGGGAACAGACAGGCTTACGACTTGCAAGAGTTCAGGAGCAACTCACCTGTAGAGCCTGATGTGTAGATGATGTAGCAGCAGTTCGGGACTACGGTGGCTGTCTCTTTGTCCCCATCCTTTGTGTCCAGCTGTTCAGAGGGGAAAAGAACAAATACGGAAAAAGAGTATAAATAAAGTATTGAAAGGCAAGAGTGCTGTTTTGAAAGGTATACACATCCCTCATTAGTATCATTAGTTTCTCTGCTTATTATTTTTTCTACTTTTATAAGGATACCAGGGAGAAAGACAGTATGCTTACAAATAAAAGAAGTAGAGATTGAAGATAGAATGAACAAAGAAAAAAGGAGGGAGGATAATGTAAAATAGATAGATAGATAGATGGATAGATAGATAGATAGATAGACAGACAGACAGATAGATAGATAGATAGATAGATAGATAGTTATATATAGACAGAGGGAGAGAAAGAAAGAGAGAGAGAGAGAGAGAGAGAGAGAGAGAGAGAGAGAGAGAGAGAGAGAAAGAACAGTGCTGGCACTATCAAAGTATTTTAACAGTTTTCTACATACTTTGAGAGCTCGGTGTTCTTACGGACGCATGGTAATCGGTCCTATGAAACAAAGGTTCTATCGTTCCGAAAGTAATCCGCTTTACAGAAGTTTGTCAGAGAGACAAACATTGCATCCAGTTAGGCTCCTTTAACTGTTACAGGGGTTGCTTTTACTGCTATTGAGTATCGTTTAATTATAGATGAGTAATTATTATCCGAGTATGAGGACTTCAGTAACAGCTTAGCTATTGAATGAGAACAAAAACTTGGAGCAACAGTTTGTACCGTAAGTTGAGCGTGAACGTCCAAATATAGCAACCAAATTTATCTTCAAGGTAAAAACGAGAAAGTAACATCCTACTGGTGCTGAATGATGGTGGTGAAAAAGAAGAAGAAGAAGAAGAAGAAAAAGAAGAAGAAGAAGAAGAAGAAGAAGAAGAAGAAGAAGAAGAAGGCAGCCGTTTCTGTGCAAAGATTCTTACCTCCACTGAGACCAAAAACAGTTCTTCTTCAACTGGGAACACCTCTGGGGACACTTTGCACAGGATGCGAGGCTGAAGATGGTCCAAACCGCCTTTGTCGTACTGGCTCTTGTTGACAATAATCACTGAAGCCCTAGAGATAATACAGTGCTGAAACTTTGTACAGTGCGCTGGGCATGTCGTTAGCTCAGCTGGTACCTTGTGCATAAACTGTGGTGTGTATGTTAGTGGTTGTTTGTTTGTTCGTTCGTTCGTTCGTTCGTGCGTGTGTGTGTGTTTGTGTGTTTATGTGTGTGTATGCGTGAGTGTATGTGTGTGTGTATGTGTGTGAGAGAAAATGTGTTTGTGTGTATATATATATATATATATATATATATATATATATATATATATATATATATATATGTGTGTGTGTGTGTGTGTGTGTGTGTGTGTGTGTGTGTGTGTGTGTGTGTGCGCGTGTGCATGGGCAGGTGCATGCGTGTATGTGTCCATGTCTGCGTGAGTTTATGCATGCGTGTTGAAGTGATTTGTGTTCGTATGGTGTCAGGCGGTGTGCTCACAGTTTGCGTGACAGACGATGGTGCCGGCTCACTTTAAAAGAGTTTAACTTTACTTTTACCAGAGTGAAAAAACAAACCATCTAGAGCTGACTTCAATTCGACCATGTAAACTGGCCTAGGTCAGTGAGTTTTATTTTGCCTCGCTCCGATTTTGACGACATATTTGAACACATATTTAATTTCAATGCTTTATACCCCTCTCCCCTTTCCCCAGGCTCTTGTGGGTTCAGGGAAAGCAAACGGACCCACTCAACACCATCATGAAGTGCAACCAATCTAATTAATGGTACAATTGTACTCTGACCACTTTCTTAGAAATATATGATTGATATTCACTTAATTTAAGCACACTGTCTCTGCATTCTTCGCTTTCTCCTCTCCTCTTCTATACTCTATTCGCTAGTCCAAGTACCCATCCTACGAAATCACCTTTTTGCGTTTAGTGAGATGTTTAACCCCTGAAAAACAAAACAAAATGGTAGACAGGCTTTACCTGGCATCGTTGAGGGTGAAATTGACGCGCTCACTTGGGTGCTCCACGGGTAGAGGGACAAAGTGACGTCGGCTGCTCACACAGACCATGACGGACAGGATGTAGGACACACTATTGGGCATGTACAACGCCACGCTGTTCTCCAAGGGCACGTGACTATCCGGCCACACTGAGCTGAAGGTAGAGAACAAAAGAATAGGGGACCGGCAGGGGGGAGGGCGTTTTTTTTTTGGG